ACTCTTTAACCATAAAGCCAAATAGCGACATTAATAAAATCATATTTGCACCAAATAGGATACAACTAAAATGTGTACAACTGAAAATGCACCAGCCTCATTTAATCTTACATTCCACAAGAGAAAATTCACTGCCATTGGATCAATTCTGAGACTGTAATTCTTTACAGGAGTACAGTGTCTTTCTCGCATGGAGCTAGCTGGTGGCTTTGAACTGCTGACCTTGGGTTAGCAGCCTAACATTTAACCATGATATCACCAGGGATCCGTAAGTGAACAAAACAAAAATATTCTTTGCCTAACCATTACAGTTTTGTGAACACTTACACCTTAACCCTCTAATCCTATTAACATCTTCTCCCATACATGAAAGATTGTAAATCATCACTAAACTTCCTATATATCTCAACCCAGTGCTCTGAGGAGACAAGAATGTTCTTTGATGTGAAGGATCTTCATTCCAGTTGGAACCTTGAGAGTTGGCAAATGTAAACAAAGTCAAATCTAGAATAGGCAGGCCACCCATTAAGTCAGAAAGCATGTGCACCAACACATAGCGTCAAACATCTTCCTCTTTAATCCGCTTTGATTATGTTCAACCCAGTCCTAACTATTCCAAGCAAACTAGGGTTTGGAATTCTCTCACGTGACTTCCCACTTCAGACCACTACCCCTTTCATGTATTTACAGCAACTCTATCCTGTTCCCGGTAGGTTCATCCCATAAGTTCAAGTTCTGCGCAACCCTATATTCAGACCAGTCAGCTTGTACTTACCTCTCCTCTAGTTCCTGTGAACCAGGTCCACAGGTATCAGTGGCCCCATCAACCAGTATCTCTCTTGCTGCGTTTCCCTCACTTTCACTCAACAAATAGATGCACGTTTGCACCGAGGGAGCATTTCCGGATGCTCAAGAGCTCCTTTTAGCTTTCAGTACTAGAGGAGGGTACTGATTAGAACAAACTTTTCCAGCCTGGGTTCCTTTGCAAACCACTTTCTGGAAATTCAAAGTGCTTTTTTTCAACTACTTTTTTTTCATTCTCCCAACAGTTTTTGTCAAATAACTTTTCAAATACCAATGTCCTGGCATTGGAGCACTGGGTGGGGTCAACCTTAACTAACCCTTTATTCTGTTTTCATATGGAAAGTTATTTCCTCAAGGCAATTCCTAATGCCAGTTTTTAGTAAATCTAATTGTAAAGGCTGAAGGTGGTCTAGCTTACAAGCAATCTTTAATCATAATTTCCAATATTCATTTGTATCACATATTATGGAAGTAGGGGGGATAAATCAATATAATCCTAATACAACCAGATCTCATACATACTAGTTTTTTAAACACTCAAATTCAGCCATTTCTTACCTACACTATCCCATTAATATCATATGACCTTATGGCTTTGGGAACGAATCCACCAGGTCTGGCATTCTAAGAAGCATGACTGAATCTCAGAACATGGTAGTACTAATCAACAACCTTAGGGGATCTCTTGAGTTCCATAGAGTATTCTTTACCATCACTATGCAGTACGAATGCATTGTGCTTTAGTAATCAGGGTCAATCACACAAATCAGTACAACAGTACCCCGATTCGCCTATTGATCCTGAGGTAAGAGCAGCCCCAAATGGCCAGGAGGCATTCTTAATGTTCTATTAAACGGAATCAGTGCTGTGTCTCCAGGGAGTATTCCCTACTTTGGAACTAACCCCTCCAGACCAGAAGAGCAGACAGGACACAAAAATGTGGGTCATTGAGAATAATGATGAGTGCACTAATTCCATTTTCAGCCTCTGGTTCCTGGACCTGTCATACACTAGAAGCTGGTTTAGAATATATACATCCTCTTGGAGAATATTGCCCAAGCCTTGTAAGGTGTTGCCACCAAGCTGGCACTGTCATTGTGTCTTTAACAATCCATCCCATCATGCCATGGATGAACAGGACCCTCTTTACGAATAGTGACAGACTAATCAAAGTTATAGAGACACAGTTCCTTTGGGCCTAATTAGACCTGACAACTGACTTCAAAAATTCTTCTTTACAATGTTGTTTCTATAGAACAAATGCGTTAGACTGGGTTCTCTAGAGAAGCAAGATCAATGATACTTGTATCTGTTTGGCTATATAAGTAAATTTATGTCAAGAATAGCTTACACCGTTGTGGAAGTAGGTAAGTCCAGTCTGGTTCAAGTCAAGCACCTTCCGGCTCATGGAAACTGATGAGCAGAAAGCAGGAGGACAAAGCAGAGGTGGTGGGAAACACAGGGTGGTGGCTGCAGAGAAGTGAATCTGAAGTTGGCTGAATTAATTCACTGTCAGTTGTCTGCTGACAGCTACTGAGATGGGCAGCAGATGGAGAAACCAGACACAAGATCCAGCTCCAGCACAAGGCGAAGGACCAGAGAGAAAGTGACTCACCTCGGCCGTTCTCTTTCCCTTATACAAAAGGTCACAACTCCAAGGAGCTGTCATCAGGCTGAGACCCATGGCTAAGTCGGACATAGTCCCTACCCTTAGTTAGGAGTGCTTAGTTGACATTATCCCTAAGCATCAGAACCAGGGATGGGAATGGTGTTTCCCTCAGACAAAGTGCATTGGAAACGGAATTCCTACAAACATAGGTTAAAATTTAAAATGTCACCATTTAGTTTCCATTTTGGCTGATGTTTACTTTGTTCTAGTTTCTTCTGCTTTCTCTTGAAGCTTTTCTGTGGTTTATTTTGTTGATGGTGGTGGGGGGTGTTTTTGGTATGCTGTTCTTTATATGAAATTCAGGATAAGTACATTTATAACTACAGTAACTAGTTTAATACTTAATAGGGACTGTGGCAGGGAAGTCTGGGAAGTAATGGGACACTACTAAATGGTACAAGAATGAAGAAACTATTCTAAAATTGATTGTGGTGATGATTCACAACGCTTTAATATATTTAAACCCCTGGATTTATGGTATGTGGATTATAAGTCAATAAAGTTTTTAAAAATAATTTTATCTTAAAATCTTTGGCTCCCTTATAAATATCAATCATTATATACACTTTGAAAAATGAGTGTCCTTTTGGAATAAACCCATGCATGTATGAACTAGAACTTCTAGTAGTAATACTTTTTGACTTACCCTCATTTACATTACATATTTAAGTTTTCTTATCCAAAGTGAAAGTTAAAGCAACCAATCATTTCTTTAGTTTTAATCTTAATTTTCCATTTAAAATGCAAATAATCTAATTATATATTTCAGCTTAATAAATCTTGTATAATTTTATACATTCCTTTCTTATGTATTTCTGGCCCATCCCCATATGACAGAGTCAAGGATTAAGGACATCTGTCACAAGTAAAATGGTCAGGCAGTAGTATGAACTACGGCATGATTTGAGACAATATTTGACTATTTTTAATAACTAGGATATATAATATGGAAGATGTTGCCACTTATAAGGTAGTGTTCTTTTTTTTTTAAGTTTACTTTTATCTTTGACAGAAACAGAGCATTTTTAACTATAAAAACATTGTTTGGGATTTAGCATGCACATACTTTTTAAAGCACAAGTTTACCCAAGACTATTCTAGTATTGCATATCCACACATTTCAAGTGATTTTATCATTCAGGATTTAATCCTTCCCCACATTTCTGACAGAAAAAATCTTATTTGAATTCTTGTTTGATAGAAAACTGTAGTTGAGTAAAGTCTCACGAATTCTATCACAGTACATTGAGGCAAAACCACAGATTTCAACATGCCTACTAGTAAGCAGGCACATGCAGAGAACAAGAAAAAGCTGCAGCTGTAAATTTATGTATTTATTATAAGAATTACATAAGTGTGACTTCTTTAAATGAGCAACATGTCTCTGTCAAGAAACTTTTTCCAAGGAAATAACTAAGCAGGACCAAATACTCCCATGGAAAATAACGAGAACTCAGGATAACAGAGGGCATGGTAACCTAGCAGCAGGGCATTTTGAGTGAATAGAAAGCACTCGTTAATCTTTTTTCTAAGTTCCATTTTAGTACTAATTCTTTTATTGTGCACTTTACCTTCGTTTTCTTTTTGACCATAATTCACATTTGCCATCTCAATTTAATGTTCAAAGAGGGCAATATTATACTATCTGATACGGTTCCCTCTCTTTGCTAAAGCACCCAGACGTATTGCACACTTTCCTGGAGTGTCCTGTTAGTCATGTCAGGTTGTTTATTCCAGCTTTTGTGTGCTTCTGCCTTGTAATACCTGGCAGCATTATTCAACGTAACCCAGCCTATCCCTTTCACGATTTTTGTTGTTTTGTTACATACATTGACGAGAGAAGGAAAATAACGAAACGTAAGAAGCGTTTTGCTTGAGCCTTCATTAAATCAAATCTCTTTTTTTCTAGAAAACAGTGCCCAGGGGATTCAGGTGAGAGAGCACTTCTGTTTGAGCTGGACTGCATCCTTTGTTGTAGCTACAGTTACCACAGGGTAAAGGGATATTGTTTAGCAATGATACTCTTGAAGGTTGCTTTCAGCGCTAGCATAAGAGAGGCAGCTTCACATTGTGGATAAGTCTGTGACCCAAATGATGTCTTGTGGACTTAGAGGGCCACTTCATGTCGGGATGGGAGTCCCTCTCACCCGTTCTACCAGATGAAACAATTCAATTAAATGATCCACAGTGCTCTGCTAGGCTGTCATTCGATTGTGCTATCATTAGCACATTGATCCTGGTTTAATAGTTAGTGTAAAAACAGATATCTCATCAGATGCTGCGTGCAATAAAAATCCTGCTTCCACAGCAGTAGATCATGAAAAGATTTCAAAAATGACATTGGTAAAGTGTCACAAATAAATGATCTGATTTTAAATATTGCTCAATTTGGCAGAAGTCATTTTGGAAGTCACTTTTAAAAAATCAATAGAGATTTTTCCTAAAATTTACAGCTGCTCAATATGTATATTTAAATTATTTTGAAATTAAAAATGGTTCATAATGAAAGTGTGCATCACCCACCAACCTGCCCATGGACTCGCTCCTCTTCTCAGTGTAATAGAATTTTTTCCTGAAAATAAATAAACTGAGTAAGGCTATCTGAGGGTAAAATAAAACTAGTGAGAACCAGCTCTAGCATATTGATCATTTAAATCCTCAATAATGTGTCATAACCTTAAGATAAGGATTTGAAATAAACCAGTATCACATGAAAATATCAAACACCATTTTTAGAATTTAAGGTATTACTAAGAAATGTATTATAATAAGTCAATACACTTCTTTTGAATATATAATTTTAACTCTATTTTAGGAAGTCTGTATTTGACACACAATGTAGATTAATCAAGTCATTTGCTTACATGTAATATGAAATCATCTATCAATCTATCCATCTCTCATCTATTCATCTATGCAATGAAACTTCCTGATTTGTCAAGGACTGTTTTAGGTATAACCACTGTGAATTTTAGAAGGAAAAAAAGTTTCTGCTCCCAAGGTGCTTCCTTTACAGTTAAAGGGATGATTAATCAAACAGTTATAATAAATTTAGATGATGTAGAAAGGTAGAGTGTGCTGTGAAATTATCTAAAAAGGACATTTCACTTAGCTGTTGTGGGTGGAGAAGGTAGCAATGACACCTTCCTAGCAGATTTGTTAGCGGTGCTGTATGTTGAAGAATCCATGGGAGTAGGTCTCTGGAAAATGCACTTAAAACACGAAATTCTATAGAAGCTGTTTTGAGGTACTGCCTAAACAGTTCTGACTTGTAGAGACGCGAGGCATTACAAAAGAAAACACTGCCTGCTCCTTCAGCATCCCCATAAACATTACTATGGTTAAGCCTATTGTTGCACCTAAGTATCAATCTATACAATTGATGAACTTTCTCTCTTTCATTCACCCTCTGCTTAAGCAAGCATCTTCGGGGCTGGACCTTTTTATCCAACATATATGGGGTAACCCAAAAAAACTAAATCCCCCCCACAAAGCTATGTAGTTAAGTTTTTCTTACAAAACAAACATATCACCTTCAAACATATCCTCTCCATTACACTTATTATGTTTGTCAGATCTGCAATTGCATTTTTGGAAACATTTTTCTAACTCATCTATTTGAATGGCTGACAGCACCTCCCTCGTTTTTTTCTTCACCTCTTCTATATCATCAAATCACTGTCATTTCATGTCCCTCTTCATTCATGGAAATGAAAAGAAATCGCATGGAGTGAGATCAGGGGAATACGATACATGGAGCAAGAGAGGCATGCTGTTTTTTTTTTGTCCAAAACTGGTGCACTGAGATGGATGCATTGTCATGGTGGCAAAAGCAGTCCCCTGTCTTCCACACATCAAGGCTTTTTTTGTTTCACTCTGATGCACAATCTTTTCAGAACCTCTAAATAGAAAGCTGGATTAATAGTCTGACCAGGTGGAACGAACTCCAAATGCACTGTCAGTCGACATTTGTGTCTGTTTGGGAAGTTGATGGATGTCCAGAATGAGGTTTGTTATCAATCAATATTTCACCCTTTTGGAAAGTAGAAAACCATTCATACACTTGAGTTTTTCACATAGTTCTGTCCTTGTAAGCAGTGTTTAATATCACAAGATTTTCTGCATTTTTCCTGAGAAGCAAACAAAATTTCACAGCCACAAGCTGTTCTCTGAAATTGGCCGCCACAAAAATGATGTTCGAGTGAAACTGCTTTTATGAAAAAAATTCACTGTGACCAGAGAGAACCTTCCCAGGTGACACCACTGGATGCACTAACTCAGAAGGGTTGCTGGATGCTTGGCTCGTGGGAAAAGTGCATATTCCAAAAGCTCCACACAGCGGAGGTTTTTTCTGTGTTTTGGGTGGTACCCCTTAATTTGTGAATTAAATCCTGCCACCTCACTTCTAAGGAGAATTCTGGGTTTATCACCCCCAAAATGTATGTATTCATTTTCTGGCAGTCCATGTTATATTCAATATTTTTTCCAATACAGCAATCCAGAGACATTGATTCTTTTACAGTCTTCATTATTTACTGTCTAGCTTCCACATGCATAAAAGACGACTGATGCATATAAGATGACTGCAAATATTAAGGCTCAGGTCAGGTGCAACAGTCCCGAAAACTTTGTTTTGAATTTGAACACATGAACGAGGTCTTTTGGAGAAGATTTGCCACATATATCATTGGACTTCTTAACTACCTGTATGGCTTTGATTATGGATCCAAGTAAAACGAAATATTTGATAACATTAATTTTTTTCTCATGATATTTTTTATTGATCCAGTTTTCATGATTTTTTTCCCTTCATGTTGAGGTATCATCTACACTGAAGGCTCTAATGTTTGTCTTCATCACTAAGTGCTACAGGCCCACTTTGTTTTCCACTAACAGGATTGTGTCATCTAAAGATCACGGATGTGAGGATTCTTTCTTCTTCATATCCAGCTTCTTGGGTTTTTCACTCAGCATACAGATTTAATACGTATGGTAAAACACATAACCACAAAATATGCTTATTGCAGTTTCAGTCATCTGGTTATCCCCATGTTCTGTTCATCTTATAGAAATAAAACAATTAAGTGTTCTTGAATTCCCATTTTTCACAATGTTATCCATAAATTGTTTAATTCACACAATTGAATGTCTATGCTTATGACTATAAAACTCAGGCAAACGTCGTATTCTCTGCTTTCAAACACAACTCTCTGACATCAGTAATAGTATCCCTTTTCCTGTCTAATCTACTGGAAAAAATCCTTATTTGTGTCCATTCCAGTGAAATAGTATCCATAAGAATGCAGAAATTACTTACCAATATATTCAATATCATACACAAATAAAATTTACTGAAGCTAATTCAACCGTGGTGTCTGTGGTACATCAACAGGAAACTACAAAGATGTGTTGTTGTTGTAAGGTGCTTCTGAGTCATAGCCAATTTGTGTACCACATAACAAAACACAGCCTGGTCCCATGCCATCCTCGCAATGGTTCTGGTATCTGAGCCCATTGTTGTATCAATCTGTCTCATTGACGGTCTTCTTTTCACTGCCCTTCCACTTGACCAAGTACAACGTCCTTCACCAGATACTGATCTCTCCTGACAACACGGCCAAAGTATGTGAGACATGTCCAAAGTCTTGCCATCCTTGTCTTTAAGGAGCATTCCGGCTGAACTTCTTCCAAGACAGATTTGTTTCTTCATTTAACCATCCATGGGGACTTCAATATTCTTTGCCAACACCACAGTTCAAATGCATATATATAGTTTACACAGTTCAGGAAACTGCCAATGATTTGTTGATAACTGAGGTATATTTTGAACATTAAGAATGTGAGAAAAGAAGCAGAGATGATAAATCACAAATGATGAAGGTTCTTAGACCTTATTCTATGGGTTTTGAATTGAAATTTTAAAAATCATTGACATTTTAATTAAATATGTATGTTTAAATGTGATAATAGTACTCTGTGACTGCATTGGTCTTCCTGGACAAATTGATTTGTTCTTTTTGCATCTTTCAATACTTACAATATTCTAACCCAGCACCCTAATTCGAAGCTATTGATTCTTCTTTGGTCTTCCTTATCCAATGGCCAACTTTCAGATGCATAGGATTGAAACGAACAGGACTTGGGTCAGGAGCACCTTTGTCCTCAGAGTCAGATCACTGCATAGCAACATTTTAAGGGGTCCTGTGCATCAGATTTACAAAATGCAATGCATCATTTGATCTCTTGAATGTTGCTTCCAATAGCCTTAATTGTGGATCTATGCAGGATAAAATCCTTGAAAACTTCAATCGTTTCTTCATTTATTATGATGTGATTTATTTGTCAAGTTGGGAGGATTTTTGTTTTCTTTACATTGAGTGAAATCCATACTGAAGGCTGCAATCCTTGATTATAGTCTTAGAAACCTTACAAATTCCCAGAGGCACTATGAGTCAGAATCACTTTTAGGTAAGTGGGTGGGGGTAGGTGATCCTCCATTTGATAATTACTATTTATAAAGTTCAACAGTGATTTTATTGGTTAAAATATATTGCTATTTTATTCCTACATTCCTACATTATTTGTTGAATGATAATGTGTATGAATAAAGAATACAGACAAAACACCATGTCAGATAGGAAGAATGGAAAGTATTGTCCCATTAACAGGCTAAAATAAGACTTCTGAACTCAGAAGTGAGGAAATTCATTTTACTGCAAATTTAAACATACTTAATTATACTGTCCAGATTGGTTTAGTAAAATGACCTCATTTCTCATTGTAAAATACATAATATTTCACAGTTCCTTATTTGCTTATTTTAGGAAACAAATTTCATAAAAATATATAAAACTCAGGTTCTCTTAGTGATATCATTTATCATTTAGATCATTTATTTAAAATTCTGAAAAATTGGCAGTATTTTCCATTATCTGTTTTGCTTTTCAGTTTATTATTTTTATGTTTTGATTTTTGGTTTTTATCTGAGTACTTCACAGGTGATATTTCATCCTTACGGTATTATTTAGTGATGTTTTATATGCTGTCTCTGCAGAGAATTTTAAGCTCTTAGCTAAGCATGAATATGAGTCCATTTATGTTTCTAATTCGAATATTACCAGTAAGATTCCTTCATAGTTGCCAAAATGTGATCAATTTCTGCTTGGTTGATGACTGAGGTTGCCTCTTTTAAAGCCTGACGTGTTTCAAATGACTAAGAAGACAGGGACCAATATCTCATACTTCAGCTTAAATTCTTTTCAGGCATGTTGTTAGAATTGACGATGCGGCACTCCTCAAAGAATTGGCCATGCTTCTGAGTCTGAGAACTATCTATGCACATTGTACTCCAAACATTCTTAGATTCATTACCTAGAGCTCTGTACTCGGACTCTCTTTAATCCTTCTTAAGCATCCGATAAAGCATGTTGCGCTACAATCAGAAAAATGCTTCTCTCTATGACTTGAGTCATCCCTTTGCACACAGCAGGGGCTGGGTGTGTAAATTTACTCAGGGAACTCATGGAGAACAATATGTCCCACACATAAAGCAATAGTCAATGGAAGGAAATTAATGTTTACTCTCCGTGTGCTTTTCTAGAAGGATGAGCCCTGGTAGCACAGTGGTTAACCACTGTGCTGTTGATAAATGACATTACTTCACATCCACTAGCCACACTGCAGGAAAACCATGTGCAGTCTGCTTCCATGAAGTTTCCAATTTCCCATGAAACCATTCTTCTCTGCCCTGTAGGCCACTATGAGCAAGACTGGGTTTCGTTGGTTGAGAGAAAAGACTCAAAATCTTTCAATTCAGCAGTGGTCTTATTTGTCCTGTTTCCCTTGGTACTGAAGACACAACTAAGAATTGGATTATACCTGAAAGGGTATTCCTGCTAACCTGTATACAGAGAAGTAATGTACATTTGTATATTTACGGGAGATACATACTTCCACTGCCCACATTTCACACACAAATAACAAGAGGTCTGTCCACCCATATTGTTCTACAACACAACACACTACCATCCAGTCAATGGTGGCTCAGTGACTCGATAGGGCAAGGTAGAACTGCCTCATGAATTTCCAAGACCGTATCAAGTTATGGGAGTAAAAAGCCCTGTTTTTCTTGAGTGGAGCAGCTAGTGGTTTCAAACTGCTGACCTTGCAGACTGTAGCCTGACTTATAACCACTAAACTACCAGGACTCCCACAGATTTGGAAAAGATAGAATCAGTTAATATATATTAAGATAGAAAATTTGAAAGTACCTGAAGGGCATCCTTATATTCAGCTTCTCAGCATATTTGCACAGTGTGTCCCATGGAATGTGAATTTTAATAAACATGATATCATTATTTGCCACAGCTGGCTGCAAGGAATAGTAAGATAGAAAGAATTATGTAAAACCAGTGCAGATAATAAATCATGCCACAATTTGACTTTGGAGAAACACTGTATAGCTTGGCTATACATGACATATTGCCATTGATTTAAATGGGACCTGTATGAATAAAGAAAGCTTAATATATACAAATATTAATAAAATGCAAAAATACCATTGTATAAAATAAATCATCAACCAATATGAGCTAGTACACTATTACAGTTGATTATTATCAGTTCAGGATTCCCAGTTAGAATAATCACGAACCAATTAGAAATGAAGTGATTAATGGTGGGTAATTTATCATGACCTATAATTTCTGCCTAAAGGGGGTAGAGAAACACTGATTGCAGTCAACTGCCCAATAATCAATTCATTCATTTATTCTTCTAGGATATTTTATTGAGTAGCTACTTCATAATATGTCTTATGATAAACCTAGAAAAACAGAGTATAATCTTAGAACGCAGTGCACTAATAACAAAAACATCAGACCCTTTCCTGTCAAGTCAATTTTGACTCCTGGCAATCCCATGCATTACAGAGCGGCACCATAGAAATGTCTTGACTGTAGTCTTAATGGGAGTAGATTGTCAGGCCTCTCTTCTGCAGTACCACTAGATGGCTTTGAATCACCAACCTCCAGGTCGAATATAAACAGTTGCCACACTCCAGAGACACAGTATCCTAATATGGCTGTCCAATCTGTACACTTACTCTCATCTTATCGTTTCTTTTCATGTATTTCATATCATAATAATTTACATCTTTTTGAACAAGAGGAGATTTTTAATCAAAGGCTAGTGTGCATAAGAATTATCTGAGGAACTATTGATAAAGTATAGCTTGCTATTTTGTAGTTCTCACTCAAAACTCACTGTCACGGAGCACCAATTCCAACACATAGTGACCCTCCAGAACCACTGGCCCCGGGAATTTCCAAGACAATAACTCTTTAAGGGAGTGGAAAGTCACCTAGTTCTCCCTTGAAGCAGCCAAGGATCTGGAACTGCTGATCTTGAGGTTAGCACCGCAACATTTAAGTGCTGTCAATTGACTCCAATTCATTGCGATCCCATGTGCAACAGAATGAAATATTTCTCCCCCCAGATTCTGTGCCAGTCTCAAAACGGTTATGTTTGAGGCTATTGTTGCTGCCATGGTGCCAACCCATCTCATGGAAGGTCTTTTACATGGACCTTCTACTTTGCCAACCATGCCCTCTTTGCCAGGGACTGTTCTCTCCTGGTAACACATCCACGGCACTGGAGATGGAGTCTTGACATCCTTGCTTCTAAAGAGCCGTGCTTCTTTCCAGATGGGAGTTTTTGTTTTTCTGGTAGTCTATGATTCATTCATTATCGTTGCCAACACCATAATTCACGTGCTAATATATACATATAATATATTAAAAATACCATGCCTTGCATAAAGAGTATCAGTTATCAAAGTGACATCTTTGCTCCTTAATGATTTATTAACAAGTCTTTTGAGATCTGACCAATGCAATACACTATTTGACCATTTGACTACTGCTTCCTTGACTGCTGATTGTAGATTCAAGCAAAATAGTTATAAAAAAAGGAGTATCCTCTATTTCTTAGAAATGTCAGGATTTGAATCTATTGTTCTGGATATTTTGCTCATACTACTCTTAAGAAAATTAGATTTCTTTGTGATTTAGTCCTTTAATCTAAATAGCCAACAAAAGAAACTACTTTGGTGTTACAGATCACTCATGTTCATATTCTACTTTAATACATTAAAAAAAAAAGAAAACCCACAAAATTTAAGATAGTTATCCCTAAATACCAAACACCCGAGGTTCACAAAACAAAAGGCAAGTTTGAATATGATCATGTTTGCACTGAATTCCACAGAGCTGGTTCTTCATTTAATTATAGGAGCTGACTATTTACAAAGGAAAATTGCTACTTGCTCTCATCTGGACAGTCTTATCAGGTAGCCAAAGAAGGCTTAGTGTCATTGTGAAATAAGCACTGGGCTGCTAACCACAACATTGGCAGTTCAAACTCACCAGTCACTCCGCGGGAGAAAGATGAGACTCTGTGCCAAGAACTTAGCTAATAGAATATAAAAAGGATATATATGCATGTATTCTTTTAAGAATTTGATTGATAGGTTTCATCATTAGTTTACGTACATACATGATGCATGAGACAACAGAATCTGTGACTGGTGGGTCAGTCAGTGGAAGATTACAGATTTCAGGTTGCTATCAATTAGAGTCAACTCCACAACATAAAGTTCATCCATCTTGAGTCAGGTGGCCACTGTTGGGCTTTATTTGGCTAATGTTGTTCATTTAAATTACAAGCTGATGGAATTTCTCAAATGACATGCTAATTCTAAAAGCCCAATAGTATGAAAGGAAATTATTATAACTTTACTATTTTAATATCATGCTTTAACCCTATAATGCCAAGTGTGACGTTTTTGTAACATTTAATTAAATATATATATTAATATATATTGATAACTATGAAAGTAAAGGATAAAAACAATTTTTTTCCCTGAAATTAAAAGTTCAGGCGTTATAGGGCTAAACTTTCATTTGTTAATTTTTGAATTTGTGTAATCACAATGTCCCGTCTTCTCTTATGTTTATGACTAATTACTTCATGAATGTTGCTTGTCCAACCAACATTTTAGATTTTTGTGACCAATGTGCTTAAATAGCATTATTAGAAAACAGTGAAACAAGCATTGTAGTAAGTATCAAATTGAGACAGCAGTTTGATCCCTCTTGCCATTGGGTTGGCCATGCTCCATGACCAGCAGGTGTCCCAGGGTTTCCCACAGACTATTATGAAAAAAAGAAGGAAATCCTGGATCTAACAGGTTTTGAGTTCCTCATTAGAGGACTTCAGAGACACTACCCATTGAATGCATGTGCTGAACACTGCCAATGAGGCAACAATGTATAATGCATTTCTAAATGTTTAACCATGGATTTTCACTGTTATAGTTCATGAAGTCCAAATTACTTTATCCCTCAAAACAAAACTAAAGTTTTGCAAGTCACTTTCGGTAAAAAAAATATATAAAAGATGTTTTCATATCAATAACATTTCGAAAAGACTTTTCTCATTTTGGATATTTTAATTTCAAAGTAAAGGAAATGCATTACAGAAATTAAAATTGACAATGGCAGAACAAGAAATCAAAGGTTTCAAACAGCGAGTGGTTTTTGAAGTCAAACCAAGAGTTTTACATGGTAGCTATGCTAGGCAAAGAATGTATGTGATTTTTAATAACAATAATGTATTTATCACAAAGATTAAATTGGTCACTATAAAAGAAAATATTACAATATTAGTATCTCTGAACTCTAAGTGATTGTCCCAAACTTGGTTGGAAAGCTTTTTTACAGTGATAAAGTGATTTTTAAAACCTGTTTCTTTAAAAGAGCATCAGCATTCAGCTATTGGAATGACTTCCTCCTCTGAGGCAAGATACATTACCTTTTTCATTACAGTTATTCCTTGCTTATCCATGAAGAGATGTTTACACTCAAATAATATTAAATATTCTTCTTTTGAAAGTATAACGTAGGCCACTTGTTTTCCAATTGGCCTTTCACTTATTAAGTACAATTTACATTTATTCAACATACATATGGATTTCTAAAGATAGAATACTTAGATATCAAACTGACTACATCTGCGGCAAGAGAAGATGAAGAAGCGCATTATTAGCAACTAAATCAGTCCAAGCAGTGACTGTGGATCAGACTATCAATTGCTCATATATAAGTTAAGGCTGAAGAGGAAAACATTTTAAACAAGTATGAAAGAACCAAAATATGACCTTGAGCAGATCCCACCTGAATTTTGAAAACCTCCACAAAATAGATTTGATGCATTGAACACTAATAACAGAAGAACTGATCATTTTAGGTTGACATCAAGAACAACATACTTGAAGAAAGCAAAGGCCATTTAAAAAAACAGGAATGAAAGAGAAGATTCAAGTGGATGTCAGAAGAGACTCTAAAACTTGCTCTTAATCTTAGAGTAACTATGGAAAATGGAAAAATGATGAAGTAGACGAGCTGAACAGAACTTTTACAAGGCAGCATGAGAAGATGGAGTAATAAATTATAACGAAATGTGCAAAGAACTAGAGTTAGAAAACCAAAAACATACAACACACCAGGAATATCTTAAACTGAAAGAGTTAAAGAAAAAAAATGCATCAGTTTTAAATATTGAATGATTCTGCTGTGTTAGGGTGGGTTGTCTAGAAAAACAAATCCAGTGACACTTCTCTATGTATAAGAAAAAGCTTTATGAAGAAGTAATTAATTATATATCAAGAAGGTATCCTAGCCCAGTCCAACTCAAGTCCATCAGTCTGATACTAGTTCATAAGTCTCTAATCATTAATCTTCGATATTCATTTATATCACATATCATATCAATAACAGTAGGTAAGAGAAACCAATAAAATCTGTTACATCCAGAGCTTAAACACAATTCTTAAACATCCAATTAAATCTTTATCTGAATTATGCCCTTCATATGCAATGTGGCCATAGGCCCCTGGGAGGATCAAACCTAGGTAAGCTGGTATTTTAACAAGGCCTCCTGACTTTGGTCTCAAAAAGTATCCAAGAGGCATTTTGCCCCCTGAGTTGCAAATTACCATTCATTTGCTCCATGGCAGGTCGGAATAATCAACGATAGCTCCTAAGAATCAGAAGTTTCCCTTCACATGCCCTTTTCATGCTGATGTCAAATGGATCTTGACTGGAAACAGAAAATACCAGAAGGATGATAACTTGTGTTTTCTTGGCTCTGCAAGGGAATTTGCGGACCATAACGATCTATGGAGAGTCTTTAGAAGAATGGAAATTCTAAACACTTCATGGAGCCCATGCAGAACTTCTACATAGATCAAAATGCTGTTATGTAAACAGGACAAACGAACGCTGCATGGTTTACACTCAATAAAGGTGTGCA